TTTTGAGTTCCAAATTGAACCAACTGCTTCTGAAATTTAGAAATCCAAGGAGAAACAGGATCTCCCAAATTGGTCTGCAGAAGGTAGGAGGACAAGAATGTTGCCTTTTACAACTACACAGAAAAGTGACAAATCTTGGGAGTCTGTCAGACATACAAAGCTCCTCTTGTTCAATGGAAAGTAAAAACATTTAAAAGAGTAAATATAAGAGGACTTTAAAGTCAAAAAAGAAAAATCAATTTGGCGAGTGTTTTTTAAAAGAACGCGTGGGTATCGATTGAAAAAGTGCCTCATCCTCATTCAGTGCTCCCGTCTCCCAAGTCAGACATGTGATCAGAACTGGGCTGACGCCAAACAAAACCACCAAAACCAACAGAAACCAGAAACCCCTCAAAGCATATACAGATATACAGCTACGCACGGGTACGCTATAGGCGGTTATATATACACGTGCATGTGTCTGTATGGATCTCCAATGTGTGCATCAAAGCCCTAACCAGCCAGGTGTGAAGGGAAGGGTCAAATTCAGCAGAGACAGTCTGCGAGCAGCGCACTGACTGGTAGCCTTGTGAGCACGCTGCCTGTGCCCCTCCGTCCGGCCCCCACCCCACCCCAAGCGTTTCAGGTGGCACCGTGCTGGACTCAATTTACGTTACAACCTCTGCAGGAGTTAAAAGGTCAAGATAACTATTACTCTAAAATATTACTTTACCCATCCAAAGAAACCTATGACGAAACCAGTGCTTTCTGATTTAGTGATATAATCGAGAAAGGGAAGTACAATCCCGCAAGGAGGGGGAAGCGACCATCTCAGACCCCATTACACGTGCTTCACAGGGTCTTGAATACATGCAGCAGAACTAAACAGTAACAACAGTCTTCCTTACTCCTTCCAACAGCTTCACAGAGAAACTGAAGACAAGATACCGTGTGAAGCTAAGGCTATGGGAACTGACTTTTTGGAGTTTACTGCCCACTTGTGGTAACGATTCCGAGCAGCAACAACCAATCAGCTTATACCTTATCCTGAAGAATCAGGGTTGATTTGCCAAATCCCCTGGAAAGCAGAGCTCCAGCATGTAGGGGTTTGATTTTATGCTTTGAGGGTACGAGAATAAGACAGAAACACCCTCCAAAATACTGCAATTCTGTAAAACATGGCTGATACCCAGGTTGTTGAACAGTCCAGGATTTTATTAAAGGAGCACTGTGTATTTTATTCTCAAAACGCATTTCCTTTTTTTTTTTTGCAGTACGCGGGCCTCTCACTGTTGTGGCCTCTCCCGTTGCGGAGCACAGGCTCCAGACGCGCAGGCTCAGCGGCCATGGCTCGCGGGCCCAGCTGCTCCGCGGCATGTGGGATCTTTCCGGACCGGGGCACGAACCGGTGTCCCCTGCATCGGCAGGCGGACTCTCAACCACTGCGCCACCAGGGAAGCCCTGCATTTCCTTTTTTAAAAACTCTTGCCTGCTCTTTTAAAACTAATAAACCTTAACATCTCTCTTTAAAGAACTGCTGATCTGTGAATCACTACCTTGTACATCTGGAACATATAATATTGTACATCAACTATACCTCAATTTAAAAAAAAAAGAAAAGAAAACCAATTACAAAGAGAGAGAAAAAAGAACTGTTAATCTGTCAGAATGAAACTCTCCATCAGGGCTTGGAGAAGAGCAGAAGCTCTGGACCCCTGCCTTCCTATCGCGAAGTCAGTCAACCACCCCAAGGGGCTGAAATCTTGGTCAACCTGCTCACTGCCCCAGATGATGACCAACGTGGCCCTGCACCCCCAGCTGCTTCCTGCTCCCCTGTTGCATGCGGGTGTCTTCAGGGCTCGGCCCAGGCCGTCTCTCTTTTCACTGCGTACTCTTCATCCGGGGCCTCACGCCCTCCTGGCCGTGTGGCTGTCCTTTACCATCCACTCGTCTGTTCCCCTAACCTCTCCACTAGATGCCTCAAACGCACCGCAAAGCCTAACGCGTGCGAAACAAGCTCCTGACTTCTGAGCTCCCCGCTGATCCTGGCCCTCCTCTGGTGTCCCCATTCAGTGGCGGCCCGGCCCTGGGAACCCAAAGGCACAAGCCCGAAGCCCAGGGTTCTCTCCGACACACCGGCCTCCCCCTCAGCCATCGAACCCCATGGCTTTAGCATTTCCCGTGACCAAGTCCACCTGCGAGCTCCTCTGCACACATGCTGCAGGGCCCTAGGCGCCTCTCAGTGTTAGACACCCCACCCCATCTCAGCTCACCGCGATCTGACATCTTCCGCCTTCACCGGCTCACCGAACTTCTTGCCCTGTCACAAGGGCAGCTTTTGGTGAACGTCAAGTGGCCCGCCCCAGCAAGTGGCTCTGCTGGAAGCTGCGCCCCGAGGCTCCTGGAGAGCCCAGCAGCAGCGCTCCGGCCCTTCCTCCCTGCTCCTCCTCTCCAGGGACTTCCTCCAAGTAATACGTTTACGGACTCTCACGAGGTGTCACCAAGAAACCTGCACTTCCAGCCTCATCGTTCCCTCCAGCGTTCCATGGTCCACCCTGGGCCCCTAACCACCCCTTCCCTCCTCCCATCTCACTCCTCACCCTGCCGGCTCTTCCTCAGTTGGCGCCACCATCGACCCCACCAACCAGGCTACACATCCGAGCGCCATTCTCGACTTCTTCCTCTGCTCTCACTCCACTGGGACTAACTTCCCGTCCTTTGTCCTTTTTTGCTGAGACTGCTTCTAGCGAAGGCCCTCACCCTCACTCATCTATTCCTCCACATTCTCAGCAAGTTTCTACAGAACCCCTGCCACATACTAGCCGCTCCAGCTCTTATGAAGGTCATGTGTTGGTGGTGGTGAACTGTGACACACTAACAGGCACCAGTGACATAGAACGGTGTGCTGAAGGCAACGAAGGAATCGTTTAGGGACCACGAGAACACGAAGGGGTGGCACTACATCCTGCTTGTCGGGATGGTGTCCCCACTCCCAGGAGTTGGCCTCAGGAGCGCTGCACGCAGACCCAGCTCCTGAGAGCCCAGAGGTTGAGGCCCTGGTGAGTCCAGAGTCGGGGTAGGAACGGTGAGGCTTTCAGCTGTGCTCACTATACACAGGCAACTGGAGAGTCGCCGGCGGGTGTGAAGAGGGGCCAGGGACAAAGAGAGATGATCCTGCCTGAAGTGCGGGTTTCAAAAAGCAGCCAGCGTCTAGACAGAATTCAGGCTGTGCAGGACCACTTCTGGGGGTGACGGGCCATTAACCTATGACCCGCACAGAAGGTGCAGATGAACTTTCTTTAGAACCCTCTAGCCTCTTATGGCACCAGATTTTTGCTCCCTTGAAAAGAATTTTTAAAATCTGCACCCCCTCGCCCATTATAAAGTTGACATCTAAAGTTGTTTATAGGATTAAGTACTTGAAGAGGAGGTAATTACAGACATATACTGCATTTGCGTCTGCGTTTTAAATAGATCTGGTCAAAGCTCTGGACCTGCAGATTTAGCTCATTTGACTAACCCTAATGGAAAATATCCACAATTAGTCGTCACTGTCAAACCTATTTGCCAAATTCCACTTACTTTCTGCAAGAAGTCCCATACCACTTCCACGTTATTTAGTTCACTCCCCAGCAATCACAAGAAACCAACTAACCCCCGAATTCTAACTCAGGAGGGCACCGGACTTCATCCGATGGAGTAAAGGGCTGCCCCTCAATTTCCTTCCTGAAGGGTTCCAAAATCTTTTAACTTTACTCTCCAGAAACGGGAAAACGAGACCCTGATCTGAAGGAGTCTGCACTCTTCTCCAGCAGACGGACAGTAATAACCAAATAAACGCGCAAATGACTTTCTGCGTCTCCGCGACCACCAGGTCCCGGCCGCGGCGCAGGGACACCCTCCGCAGAGCCTCGGGGCCCTTGTCGCACAGGCCTGCAGTCCCCGCCCAACCCGAGCGCGGCTTAGGGACCACGGGCTGTAAAGACCACCGGGCCTGGGACTGCAGGGATCACGGGCGGGAAAAACCACTAGGCCCCGCGCCGCAGGGACCACAGGCGGAAAAGACCCCCGGGCCCCCGGGAGGTTCCCCGAAGGCAGGCCCGTCCGGGTTGACTCAGGCGGCAGCGAGCGGGTGCGCGCTCCCCGCCGCGGTCGCGTGCCCGGGAACCTGCCCCAACCGTCGGAACCGAGAGCTCCCGCCGGCCGAGTTCGGGAGGCTCCTCCCGGGCCTGCGCGAAGGCGAGCACCGGGTTGGCAAGGACCCCGCCTCTGGGCTGCGCGGAGCACCGGCGCCTGTCCCCCCTTCCCGCCCCATGCCCTCGGGCTCACACAAACGACTGGAGGGACGCTGGGACCTTAGCCTCCGACTCAGTCCAGATGTCGCCGTCCCGGCTCGAAGTTCCCCCACAACGACGCCTCCACGGCGGCCATCTTATCCAGAGGCGGCCACCGCCTTTTGACTCTCGCGCCAATCCGTAGAGCCAGGTCGCCGTGAGAGGAGTTCTGCGCAAGGACGGAAGCTGGAGTCCTGCGCTTCCGGGCGGCCGCCGCGACCCGCACCCTCGCGAGAGCCCTTGATTGGCTGTCGGCTTGCAATCTCGCGATTTCGCGGGAAGTGGCTGAGGGGGCGGCAGCCGGTGCGTCTGACCTCCCGTTCCCCGCCTCCGCCGCGGCCCCCGCCTCTGCCTCCCCCTCCCCGGCGCCGCCGCCGCCCCCTTCCCAGCCGGGCCGGCACCCCGAGCGGCCGCGGAGACCGCGCAGCGCGGCAGGCGGGATCCTCACGGTAAGATGGCCGCGGCGGGCCCAGGCGGTCGGGCGGAGCGTCCCCGCGGGAGCGCGGCGAAGCGGGGCGGGGAGGCGGAGGGCCAGGCGGGGGCCGGGGCCAGGGAGGGGTCGAGGCGGCCCGGGAAGGGGGCGGGCCAGGTCGCGGGGGTGCGCCGACTGGCCGACGGCGCCGGGAGGCCTTCCGGGGTTGGGGGTCCGAGCAGGTGTCGTCGGGCCGCGTTGTCCGGGGAGGCGGCGCCCTCGGGGTTTGCACGTCCAAATGTCCCCTTCTCCTAAGGCGACGGAACCCGAGGGCCGAGACTCGGTGTTTGTTGTTGATGAAGCGCGTTTCGAGGGAGGTCTGCACATTCCGAGGCGGCGCCTACTAGGAGGTGATAGTTCTCGACACGTCGCACAGGTGTCTCTGCGACGGGAACCGTTTCCACCCGGAACCGCGTCCGAGCAGAGGCTGAGCTGCAGAGGCCGGACGTTGCTCTTGCGAGCAAGTGTTCCTCGCTGTCCGCAATGGGATGTTAAATTATGTCTGTGGGATTTTTAACTGCTGAGTTCTTCCTGCACAAAGCAGAATGGGACAGTTCTCCAAAGCTGTTACTTTTTCAAACGTCGCTCTGTCGTCCAGGACTGAGAATTTGATCTGAGTGAGTTACACCACTGGCGCGTAGCTTAGAGAGATGGGTCCTTGGGTGAGGGACAGCACCTCTTGATTGTCTTAGGACAGGTGTTCTTCTGCGGATCAGAGTTGGGCATGGCATCCCCCCACGGACCGAGAACTTTGTCTTGTACCCCTTTGCTTCCCCACCTACACTCCCTCCCTGGGCGATCTTTGGCGAACTCTTGGCTTTCAGTCATTTTGTGGCGGATGTTTCCCTAATTGTTTCCAGCGCTGAGCTCAGGACCTGTAATCCAGGTGCCTGCTTGACTTCTCCAGCTGTGGGTCTGATAGCCCAAAGTCGCCCGGCTCCTCAGACCTGTTCCTCTCCTCATTTGTGGCTCCATCCTGCAAGGTCTCAAGCTTGAAACCCCACCATGGTCCCTGAGTCTTCCGTTCTTTTATCCTTCCACGCTGGGTCCAGCAGCAAGGCCCACTGGCTCTGTCTACAGAGTCTTGATGGGCTGTCCTCTGTGGCTCTTCTGCTGCCGTCCTCTCTTGTTTGGGTGGCTCCTCACTGGTATTCCTGCTCAGCTCTCACCACCCCACGGTCATCCCATGTCCACTGGGCAACCAGAGCTGTCTTTTAATTTTTTTTTAATTGGTTTGGCATGTGCTTTGCTATGTATAAAGTAATATCCACAACATCTATGTCAGTTACAAAGGATAAAACTGACGTGGACAGTGGTGGGCTCACCACCCATCGCGAGAGCCCAGCTGGTGCTCCCAGGGCCCCCTTTCCTTGGTAACCATCTCCTGAGATTCGTGTTTCGTGCCCTTACTTAAAACAGTGGCAAAACGGTTTTGCTACGAATGTATGAGTGTATTTACTGCTAAGCAAGCATTGTACAGCTTGTCTTGCTTTTGTTCTTTACAAACCGCCGCACTGGGGTCTCCGCTGTGACTTGCTCTCTTCGTCCAGCTGGTTTCTAAGTCCCCCATGTGGTCACATTCATTTATTTTACCTGCTTTAGTAAATCCTGTTTCATGGATACAGTCACAGTCCCTTCTCAGTAGTTCTAAAATCCACATAACTCTGAAAACCAAAAGTTTTTGGTTTTCTTTTTAATCTATTAGATGGCAAAACCTCACCTGGCAAAGGCTGTTTAGCAGCTTCTGTTCCACTTGGTATGAGGCCTCATACGTTTCACTGAAGAAATCATATCTGATTGTGGGGTGCTGCCCCACACCACAGAGGGGATGGTGTACGATACGTGGTCAGATGTGCACATAGTCTTTGTACAGCTGAACAGTTCTGAAGTCTGAAACCGATCTGCCCCAAGGTTGTGGTCCTGTGAACCATAGTCCATTCGTCTGTGCTGCTGTTGGCTGAACATCCGGGTGGATGGCTTCCATATTGTCGCCATCCTGAGCAGTGTCTCTGTGGACAGGCTCGTCTGTGTCTGGGTCTCAGTCTCCAGGAGTAGAAGAGCCGGCTGTGAGGGGCACATGTGCGCAGCCTTGCAAAGCGATGCCAAGCGTTTTTGCTGTGGGTAAAGGGGGTTCAGGAGAACTCCACGTCTTTGTGAACACTTGGTGTTGTCAGACCGCTTCATTTTTCTCAGTCTGAAGGGTGTGTGATGTGGGCTTCTCTGGAGAACACACATCGCAGCACGTGATTCTTCAGCCTGTACCTCTCGTGGCTGCCCTTCGTGCTTAGAGGGGAGTCCCTCTAGATCCCCCTTGTCCTGTAGGGCCTTAATCGGACCCCAGCCGACCCTTGACCTCCTGGTCCTAAGACCCTTGGCTCTTCCTCTCGTTCATCCTACCTTCCAAACACCCCAACCTTCTCTTTGGTCCCTGAATCTGTGTTTGAGTCTCAGGCCCTTTGCATGTGCTGTTTTCCACATTTTAAGTATCTTCCCACTCTCCTCCTTTTACTTCCTGCTCTGTCGCCGTGTTTATGTCTGAAATGATCGCAATTGTCATAGAATTCTTCACCAATTCTTAAAATATTACCTTTTTTCCCTGTAGAAATAAATCAGAATGAGTTATACAGAAAAACCCGATGAAATCACAAAGGATGAGTGGATGGAAAAGCTCAATAACTTACACGTCCAGCGAGCAGACATGAACCGTCTCATCATGAACTACTTGGTCACAGGTAAGGGGTGTGACGAGGGTGCTGCCCCTTGGACATCCTTACCCTTTCTGTGCACACAGGCAGGACTTACTGAAGTTTTGTGGTGCACTTGTGTTCAGGCGTCATGAAAATGCAGTGTTCTTTTGATAAACTTGTAGTTACGGATTTAAAGAGATATCCTCTTCCGGAGATGAGATCATGATTCCGGGTCTCTGAGACCTAAGGAAAAAACCTGTTTCTTGGCCTTTGACATTTTTGCAATTGATCAGCATAAATAAGAAAGTGCTGGAGTACGTTTAAAACCCAAGTAATTAATCTCTTCTGGCCAGTCTGGTAAATGATACTGGACTGTTTCTAGAAGGTGTGTCCAACTCAAGAAAGGGGGAAGGGCATATGGAAGGAAACGCACATGCTCTGCGGCTAACACTCAATCCTCCTTGACACTGGGAAGCAAAAGGGTAACTCTGTACGTGGTGAGAAAACCCACATGTTTCCAGAAAGCCAGTCTCCTTCCTGTGAGTTCCCAGTGGCCACCACCCCTCCCATCAGTCTCTGTTGTTGAAGAGAATTGTAAACTCACAAAGAGTGGGAGTAGCCAGGGCCTTGCAGGCTGAGAGGGCCTTGCTTCCCCTGGAGCAGGTCGGCAGCTTCTCTGCACTGGGCCTGGACCGCAGCCCTCCACCAGGGGCCATACCGGCACGTGGGGCCTCAGCACCCATCCTCACCTGGCTGGGAGGTTAGAGCATTTGGGGTGTGGGGGGAAGGAAATGAAGTACTACGTCTGCATTTCTGGGACATAACTGGTAAGTCACAAAGGTATTAAACCCAAATCCCCAAGAAAGTGCAGTTATATCAGAGGTTTTTTATTCAAGGCGGATGGGCTTTCTGGAGACAAAAGGGCTTTGCATTGATGTCTTGCTGACCTTCCGAGCAGTGAGGATGGTTTTCATTTCCAGAGGGCTTTAAGGAAGCAGCAGAGAAGTTTCGGATGGAATCTGGGATTGAACCTAGTGTTGATCTAGAAACGCTCGACGAGCGAATCAAAATCCGGGAGATGATACTGGAAGGCCAGATTCCCGAGGCCATCGCACTGGTCAACAGCCTCCACCCGGAGCTTCTGGACACAAACCGCTATCTTTACTTCCACCTACAAGTGAGTCTGGTTTACGGACGCTTGACAAATTAAGGTTCTTTATGGGATTCAGAAGTAACAAGGCTAATTCGCCTTAATAGAACGTTGCTTTAATTGACGTGGGGAAGGGGTTAGAGTTAGCTGCTCTTCTGTGTATCTCAGAAGCTGTTTCTTGCTTTAAAAACGCAAATGTAATAACTCGGAGTTGCTAGACAACTCTGTCCTTTGAGAGGCCCTTTCCATGAGAAACAGGCGCGGCCGCGGGGGTGTCACTGGCCGAGTGGCCGGGCGCCTGGCGCTCACCCTGTCTGCCTGGCCCCCGACCAGCAACAGCACCTGATCGAGCTGATCCGCCAGCGGGAGACAGAGGCGGCGCTGGAGTTCGCACAGACCCAGCTGGCCGAGCAGGGCGAGGAGAGCCGGGAGTGCCTGACCGAGATGGAACGCACGCTGGCCCTGTTGGCCTTCGACAACCCCGAGGACTCGCCCTTCGGAGACCTGCTTAACATGATGCAGAGGCAGAAGGTGGGCGCCAGGCGGGTCGGGGGCTTCCGTCTGCATCCTCCACAGATGTTCACAGGATTTCCAAAGAAACGGGGCGGTGGGTGGGTGGTGTCGAACGGGATGGCGTTTCTGGCCGGGGCACTGCTGGGAGGGCCTCGGCTGTTCCCTAGCTGACACTTCCATTGTGTCACACTGGGAGCCCAGGGCGTCGCAGCTGTTACAAAGCAGTCAGGCCTCTCTGCCCATTTTTCTTGTTTATCTGAGCCGCCTTCCTGTATAGCTGGAGACTCGTAGGAAGAGGGGTTTCAAGTACCTTTTGATTAAAAGCCCACACTTGCTTCAGACACTTTTGTGCGCCCTGTCGCAGCCTCTGTGTCCCCGCTGGCATGGTGGCTTCCCCGCCACCCTCCGCTCCCCTGGAACGAGGGTGTCCTTGGGGTCCACCTCAGGTGTCATCCTGGGGCTCGTTAGGCTGGAACCGGTCCCACCCCCACCCTGGTCTGCCCTCTCTGCCAGGCCCCTCGTGCCCAGCTCCTGGCATGTCAGCGCCGTCCAGGCCGGATGTGGTATCTGCTGACCACACCGTGAGCTCCTCTGGACAAGTAGTGTGCTTTACGTCCTCTGGAGTGCCTGACAGTCACAGGCTTCGTGTTTGTTAAATAAGTAACCAGCTTCTCGCATAAAACTGGTTTCCAAGGCGCACGAAATGCATCTTATGATGGACCCTTTTTGCGGGTGCTCTGCGTGTGTGGTGGTTTTTATTGGCTGCCTTTATTTTCTAGGTGTGGAGTGAAGTGAACCAAGCTGTCCTGGATTATGAAAATCGTGAGTCAACACCCAAGCTGGCAAAGTTACTGAAACTACTCCTTTGGGCTCAGAATGAGCTGGACCAGAAGAAAGTCAAATATCCCAAAATGACAGACCTCAGCAAAGGCGTGATCGAGGAGCCCAAATAGAGTCTGGGCAGGGGCCCCATTTCACCGCCGGGCCGGCAGAGCACCGTCTGGGACTGAAGATTTTTACGGCAGCAGAGAACTCTTTCCTCCCCCCTTTTACTTTTTTTTTTTTGACCCAGAATCTTTTCAAAAGGGAAAAGTAGCCCTTTTAAGTGCTGGAGAACGCGCAGTGAAAGACACCGTCTCCTCCGGAAGGCTGGTGAGGACCACAGCATGGCCTGACCTCCATGCTCTGGGCGTCTCGGCTCCCAAGGCGCCGCATCTTAGGGACACTGGTCCACCCCGCGGCCGCCGCCCGGAGCACCGGGGCAGCACTGATGGCTGTCTTGCTTTCTGTTTGTGTCTAGGCAGACAGCGCATCCTCATCTTCCCACATCTCGGCTGGCCTTCTTGTAGGAGTATTTCCTTCGCCCCTTGGTTTTTGGTTTGTTTTTGTTTTTTCATAGGAAAGACTATATAAATTTGTAAATCCCAATTCAAAGACTTCTTTCGTGTGCGGGTCCTGAGTTTGATTTTTTTCCCTTTTGGTCTGGGTTGTGTGGCTTTGGGGGAGATAAGTGCGTGCGTGCGTGTATATATATGAGGGGCGGGCTGTGTGTTTTTTAAATTTATAAATATATATTTTGGTGCTGTACGTGGTGAGAGACTCTTTCCTAGTGGATCAATGAACCATCTCTCCTGGGCAGTTATGTTAAAAATAAAGGTTTCTCTTTAATTTCAAGAATGACCAAAATGGTCTCTCAAAAGTTTTAATCACCTCCAGCACACCTGTTGCTTCTGGGGCTGGCTTCCCCATGTGACGGCCATGACACCGTCTAGTGTCTGCAGCTGCAGAGACGGGGGACTGCGCCGCGGCGTGTGCCGTGCTTCAGCATCTCTCACGCTGTCAGCCAGTTCTGTGCCTGTCCTGCTTCTGTGCCCTCACATCTGTCCCCTGCCCGGCACCCAGTGCGGTCGGTGATACCCAAATGCAGGCTTGGGTGTTGGGGTTTGTGGCAGGTGGCCTGGGGTGCCGGTGCTGGAAGGGGTTTTGTGGATTGTTGCAGAGCTGCCGGCCCCTGGGCGAGGTGGTGGAGGTGGAGGTGGAGGGGGCCCCAGCACGCGGAGCTCTTGGGGCTGGTGGCTCCTGTGCATCCTCTGGTGGGAGCGCCCACGTGGCTGAGACTCAGTTCTCCCTCGTCTGAGCCCTTGTGCAGGGTGGGCTGTGCTGGCACCCGGGCTCGATGGAGAGAAATGCCATTAGCAGCCGAATCTGGGGAGCCCGTGGGCCTGGATGCATAGTGAAGCAGGTCCTCGGGGAGGTCGGGGCTCTGCCTCCGACCCCCCGAGTGTTTGTCCTGAAGCATCTGTGGCACCAGCTCTTCCCTCCACTTACCACTCACTTTCGACCTGCACTTGAGTCTGCGGGGTCACTGGTCTCCAGCGGGTACAGCTTCAGGCAGGATTTTCCTTCCCCAGGTGGTTGTGTAATTCAGTCACAGGTGCAAAGGCAAATAGACCACTCAGGCCCTAGACTGGCCCTTCATGCTGCCCTTTGGACCTTGTGAGGGTTGGGGGGGTGTCCTTTTCTTACCCCCAGAAGTGATGAGTTTCACCTCTCTCGGTCGTCAGCCTCAGGTGTGACCTTTCCGTACGATCATTTCCTCTGAGGTTTGAGGATAAAAATAAGTTAGGGAGAAAGGGGGTTTTAATTTTCAGGTAATTAAGACTTAATACAGCAGAAGCTGGAAGAAAAATATTAGGGCAGTAGACATAAAACTACATTTTTTCAAAAGCATCCTTTATTATTAGTGTATATAAGATTATTTATGTGCATAATTAATATATAATCGATTTGAACTATTTTTCAAAGGAGAGGGTTTGAGATGTACAGTAATGGGCAAGAATCATCCATAAACTGTCAGGACTTGAGTGGGATTTGTCACGTGCATGAAATGTTAAATGCTTATGAGAAGTGTTGCTATTTTATTCACCAGTTCAGCCAGTGAGTGACTTGATCAGCCAGTGCTAAAACCCATGTGAGCTGGGTGCTGGCCAGACTCGGAGAATTCAGATGTTACTCTTCAGCTCTTTACCTTTGTTTAAGGGGTTTAGTTCCTTCCCCATGGGCTGGAAATCTTCAAGGGGGTGGCTTTGCAGACGTCTCTGTTTCCTCTTTTTTGCAGCCTCTCTTTTTTCAGCAAGCAGACTACCTTAAGCCATTTCAAGATAACGAGCATCAAGTGTGCTAACTTTTCTGCTTCGTCTCATTTGGATCTCGCTGTTGTGTTTGTCAAAATGTAATGTTCTACCAGGGTAGTTTCTTTCTTCTTTTTACACTTTCTGGTGGAAAGTGCCTTGAAATAAATAAAATGTGAGAATATTCTGGTACTCTGTGTTCCTGGTGTTGTGAAGTCACATGAGGAATGACCCCTAGTCGGGATTCTTCCGAAGCACAGGGATTATCGCAAAGCAAATGAGAGCTAACGTATTTTGCCATTTGAATTAAGTTTTCCAGTTTCTAGAAAAGGCAGCAGTTGGTTGGGACTGGTCCTGGCGTGGACTGAGATGCCAGGTGCAAGCGTGGGGGTCGCAGGGCTGGCTCTGCCGTCCAGCCAGGACGCCCTCTGAAGACAGACATGCAGAGAAAACGTGTGGAGGGGCAGCTTTTCTAACTCAGTGTGATGTCTGTACTTTCCCACTTCTCTCTGCTGTTAGTTTAGGGGACCGTGGCAGAACCAGGAGTTTCGGAGAGAATCGTACACATTCTGTGTTAAAAGACACTGCCGGGGCTTCCCTGGTGGCGCAGTGGTTGAGAGTCCGCCTGCCGATGCAGGGGACACGGGTCCGTGCCCCGGTCCGGGAAGATCCCACGTGCCGCGGAGCGGCTGGGCCCGTGGGCCATGGCCGCTGAGCCTGCGCGTCTGGAGCCTGTGCTCCGCAACGGGAGAGGCCACGGCAGTGGGAGGCCCGCGTACCGCAAAAAAAAAAAAAAAAAAAAAAAAAAAGACACTGCTGTCCTCTGGATAATGGGGCAGGACTCCTTTCTGGGTGACTATTGCCAAGTCTGAGTCTGAACAAAAGACCAGATTAAAGGCATCTGGTGTGGTGACTGCAGGCTGGGCTGCCCGTCCCCAGCCCCTGGACACCAAGCGTGTTGTTCCTGACGATGGGTATGTTTCCATTTCAGAAATACATACTGCTCTTTTGGGTTTACAGTCAGTTGTACTGTTGGCAGCAGTCGCGTGAGAGCCTGTGTAAAACAGTCACCCGCCCTAGCACTTGGTGCCCCTCTGATTCTGTCGTTCCAGGCGACTCCTGGGGCGCATGCATGCAGCGCTCACAACACCTTCTGAAAAACGCAGAATAGGTTGCCTTTGCTGCCTGTTCTGAATTTCATAGTAAAAGTTTGCACATTTTTCTCAGAGTGTTCGTCTGAAAGCTCTTCCCCACCGCACCCCCCGCCGACACCATTCTAATAAGAACAGAGAGTTCCGTGCCACACTAACACGTTTGCATGTAGACCTGGAAGGGTGGCGGAACTTTGGTTCCCGTGCGTCCGTGCTTTGCTGTGGCTGCATCCCCACCCTGAAGCCTGCCGTCTGCTCTTCTGCACTGGCACCTCGTTTCAGTTTTGTGAAGGAGATGGAGCTAGTCGGGCTCCATGCCCACCGTATGACTTTCAGCTGAATTGGAACATTCTAAGTAATTTTTTTGTGACATATGAAATTTCCAAACCTTCAAAGAAGAAGGGCTGCTCCAACAAGCCCAGGGCTGCCGCCGTGGTGCCCGTGCTGGCATCCAGTGGGGCGGGTTCCCGAGCACCCTCTGTGGAAGGCCAGTGCGGGACCCTGGACGCAGCTGGAGGGCGATGGGCGGGGTGCAGAGTGCAGCCCCGTGCCGGGCAACGCGCAGGGGTGCCGGTGCTGGTGGTGATGGGGACGGGAAAGGAGGGGCCTCCCCCGTCGCTGATCCACGGCAGGGACCTCTCCCACCTCACAGGGGCGGCCGGGTGGCCCTTGCCGATGACCCCAAGCCCTTGGTTTTGTGCTCACCTCCCGCAGGGTGCTCGGTAGGGGCTGGTCCTGGCACGGGGCCTGCCCACCCTGGAGGCTGTGCCTCAACACTGAGATGTCGTCAAGGCTCTCCCTTCCTTGTGGTGGTTTACTTACGTAGATGTCGGGCACGGGGTTCGAGTGGGCCTTTGGCATGAGTCGCTGGGGCGGGTGGAGCATCCTGGGTGGCTTTGTCTTTGCAGGATGCCGGCCACGGCTCCGTGGTGAGCAGACTGGCCCAGCCCCAGCGGTGGGAGGGGGGAGGAGGGGAGGGGTGGTCTGGGGTCACTGATCACGATAACCCTGCGCTGACAGCATGGAGGTGTTTCCCGTTGTGGGGATTGGGGGGGTGGAGTTAAATAGGAACACGGGGCTCGGGTTGTCTGCGGTTTGGAAGTCTCCCAGCTGGAAGGCCAGGTTCACGGTCACATCCGACCGTGGCACAGAAGGAAGTCTACCAGGCTTGTTTACCCCCAGCTCTGACCGAGTGGAGCAGCGACTGGAGGTGAGCAGATTTTGCCCACGTGAAGCTTTCTGAGCGGCTGCGTTCTCTCCATGTCAGATGCCCGTGGAGCAGCAGGCTCACTGCGGCACGAGGCTGAGACCCCGACGCGCCTCTGGAGCTGGAGGTGGGATGCGCCTGGCCGCTGGGACCCCAAGGCACTCTGCGTGTTTGGGCTGCACGTAAGCTTAGTCACCGGAGAGGATGGAGGGGCGTCTCCTCCTCTGGTCGTGGCTCCTGCTCTCCGCAGACTCAGCCGCGGGCCCTGTCACATGAGGTTTTCTCTCCCACAGGTCGTGGTGTCTTACAGTCACACTAATTTTACCATCTGGCTTCTGCAAGTGAAGCCAGCCCAGCCGTCACGGAGGATGCCACGCCGGGGCTGGAGGGGCGGGAAGGGAGGTGGTGGGCGGTCAGCCGGAAGCCTGGAAGGCCGTTGACCACCCTGGCCAGGGTGAGGGGACGGGGCACTGGCCCCTGCTTGGCCACAGACTCGTGGGACTGGTGAGTCCTTAATCTCCGGGTGTTCTGTTGTATCCTGAGCGTAAAACAGAAGTGTTGAACAGCAGTGTTTGTGAGGTTCAAATAATGACCTCACCAGCACTTTGTCCCCACCTCCTGTCTCCCCCTCCTCAGCCCGGCTGGGCTCCCTGCGGTCCTGGAGCTGGCCCTGGGCCTCCGCCCGCCCCGCCCGCACGGCCTCCTCCTTCCCTGCTCTCAGACTTGTCTCGTATGTCTTTCTGGGAGCATCTCTCAGCCCGTCCCACGGCAGAAGCCACCCTTCCCTGCCCCACTTGGTCTCCTTTTTGTGTTTCGTCTACACGCCCTGGAACATCAGCTCCAGAAGGAGAGGGACTTTTGGCAAATGACAAATGCCCCCCACAGTGTGGCTCTAGGTCTGTATGTAAAATCATCATCAAAGAGCCCCAGGCAGTGGGTGAGAGTGAGCTGCCAGGAGGAGGGTGGGGTACTATCGTAGCTGAGCTGAACCCTTTTCCGAGTCGCGGGCTCTCTGGGGGCACGCACCTCTCTCCAGCACCATCCTTCTGCCCCGTTGAGCGTCGTATGGATGGAAGGACAGCAGTTTGTTCAGCAAGC